CAGCTTTGCCATAGCATGCATATCCAACCTTTAAAATTTATTTATACTCCATTCCCTTTCTCTAGCCAGATTAAATTCTCCTTTCCTAAGCTATTTTTGCCTCACTTCTGACTGTGGCATAATTCAACATGCTCAAAACAATCACATGGAGACTGGCCCTCCTGATTTCCAATTCCCAGATGATTTTTATTCAGGCTACAGAACAGCAAGAGAAATTTTACCAAGTTTACTGAAAATAAGAAGAGTTTTCTCAAATTAGATTCCTCCAGGTACCAGTATGTGAATCAGTCATAATAATGATGTGCTATGAATTATTATGAATTCATAATAAGTCCCTTATTCAGTGTCCCAAGGAAATGGTTCCTGCCACTATGCAAATGGAAAATATTTTGTTACTTATCAGTCTCTCCCTTACATCTTAATATGCACACTGAAGTAAATACTATATTAAGCAGAACAATTACTAATGTGAATACACATTCTCATCACACTGGAAGCAATTTTCAGGCTCATATTTAAAGTGGTCAAAATTAGACATGAAAAGTAAAGGGACAAAGAATGGAATAATAGAAACTAATTAAAGAGAACTGTTTCTTAACATACACAATTTTTTTAAAAAGTTACTCAAAAACTGCCTTAATCAATTTTACAGAGAAAATATGGCCTCTCATGGTTTGATTTGATGACTTAATAAGATGTTTACTTCTGATCCAGTAGAAGTCATTGACAGATATTTACATCTTTAGGACCTCCTCCTGGCTGAGTGACTGTTTCTATTTGTCTGGCTATGTATTATACAAAGCACAGTAGCCACAGGCAGCTGTGGGCCTTTGGACTTCATCCTTAGCCTAGACCGCTTGAACGACTTTTTGTGACACGCTTAATTGCTCATTGGAAATTTCTGTGTCTAAAAATTCCCACAAAAATTATGATGTAGCACTGTTGTTGTGTTTTTATTAGTCACCAAAACTCATTGAAAAGACTCTTGATAAAACTTTGATCACTGTCTTAAGAAAATTAAGTCACTTTTTAACACAGAGCATATTTTAGTTTCAAACAATATCTAAGCACTCTGCAAATTAAATATTTATAGAAATTTAGGTACAGGCCTACCTCAGATATATTGTAGGTTCAGTTCTAGACCATCACAGTAAAGTGAATATCACCATAAAGGGAGACACACAAATTTTTTGTTTCCCAGTGCATCCAAAAGTTATGTTTATGCTATACTGTAGTCTATTAAGTGTGTAACAGCATTATGTCTAACAAAACAATGTACATATCTGTTATCCTACCGAACCCACAGCTAGAGTCTCCCTAAAAGCAAAAGCAGGGGAATTCCCATGAGGGAGCACCCCAAACCATCTGGAGATGGGGCTGGTTGAGATTCTAAAGAAAGAAGCACTAAATGCAGGGTGATCAGTTTAAAGCATTTATTAGAGGAACTTAGAGTGATGCAGTATATTCATGGACAGTATATTGGACAGTATATTCATGCAGTATATTGATGGACAACAATAGAAAAGGGGTGTTTTACCTATGTATGTCTACAACAAGGGGGTCAGGATATGGAGTTTACACGAAGGTTTCAGGAACTTGGCTCAGGGTTGGGGCTAGTTTCTTTCTAGTAAACCTAGATATCTTTATCAGTGCCTGGGAATGTACAAGGCCCCGGTGTGGGTTCAAGCCAGCTGGGAAAAATCTGCAGCTGGCTGGATCACCGAGTGGTCAAGGCACTCTGTAATTTTGGGTCAAGTCTTAGAAAGACAGCAGAGGAAACTGGGGGATCCTACAACACCTTAATTAAACATCTGGTGAGTTTGATCACTTTAAAAAAAAAATAGTCAAGGTGCTGTGGCTCATACCTGCAATCCCAGTACTTTGGGAGGCCAAGGATCTCTTGAGGCCAGGAGTTTGAGACCGGCCTGAGCAACTTGGCCAGACCCATCTCTACAAAAAAAAAAAAAAAAATTAGCCAGGCACAGTAGCATGCACCTGTAGTCCCAGCTACTGAAGAAGCCAAGGCAGGAGAATCACTTGAGCCCAGGAGTTTGAGGTTGTAGTGAGCTATAATGACACCACTACACTCCAGCCTCAGCAACAGAGTGGGACCCTGTCTCTTAAACACTATTGCTAAAAAATACTAATGATCATCTGAGCCTTCAGCAATTTGTAATCTTTGCTGATGGAGAATCTTGCCTCAATGATGATGGCTGCTGACTGATCAGGGTGGTAACTGCTGAAAGCTGGAGTGATTTCTTCTAATGAGACAACAGTAAAGTCTGCCATATTGATTGACTCTTCCTTTCACATAAGTTTTCTCTGTAGCATGTGTTGCTGTTTGGCAGCTGCCAAAGAAGCAGGAACATGACTACCCTAAGAGAATTTAGCAGACTGGTCAGCAAGACTGCACTTAAATCTTGCTTAAAATGTGTCCTTCTCAATAGGAAAAGCCTTCTTTATCTTTTCATCCTTGATCTATGTCATTTTCAAAGTAGGACAGGGTGGTACCTTATTTGAGAAGCTAAGACCCCCAGAAACTGATGAGTTCACTTGAGAGTTTGAGCCCAGGTTTTAGAGGTGGATGAGCATAGCTGACTGGATTCTTCATGTCAGCACTGTTTGTGGTAATTACAGGATCTGTGGATCACAAGACTTACAACTTGTATCGCAAGTTCTACAAGAAAATTGGCTAACACTGATTTGGCTCTGCTTACCATTTGCCGAATTTGTATGTTGTCCCACCAAATTCATTTTTTGAAACATCATTACATGAAAGAGTTTCACTATTCCAATTAGTATTTCTTTGCTGACCAAATTTTGGAGTAAAAGTGGCTAGTATGTGTTCTTTAACTACACTATTATATATGTTGGTCAAGCTTTTTATTTGTTGTGATATATTAACTGCCTACAATATATCACCAATATTTTCTCCCAGTGTGAAATGAATACTTGTCAAAAGTCTTTTGCCATACAAAAGTTTTTAATTTTTATATAATGAAATCTGTCCTTTTCTTTGTGACTTGAGTTCTGGGGACTGCTTAGCTTCATCTCTACCACCCCAGGAATTTTTGTAAATCTTCCTATATTTTCTTAGTAATATCTTTCTCAAATTTGCTAATTTAGTCTGGCCCAATTCTCTTTCGAAAGCAATTACTTTACTTACAAGAGTACATGTTTATAAGAAAGTTGAATAACTATGCAAGCAATCTCTAAATAGAAGTTCTAATAAATCCTAAAATGCTGTAGTATACTGAGGAAGGACAAAATTTGATCCCTAAAGCCCTCTCCAATCTAATGCTCAGTGAAAACAGCAAACAAAAGGCCTCAGTGTTAGTGGAAAACTTAGTTCTTCAAAGCAGGTAAAGGTCCTGTTTACTCCTTCCAGAAAGCTAAGGAGAAAGGGTTTTCAGATTATAAATGACAGAGTTGCCCTTGTATAGCACAGAAGAATTGTGATAAGGCTTTATTTTCGTAGGCGCCTAAATTATGGAGACAGTGGAACAACAGGGCTGAAAATGAACAAAAAGGAAAGCTTTAGCTTTGACGCAAAGAACTACATCAGCGCTTGACAAAACCGAGGATTCTTAATTTTAAAAAACGCTTCCTTTTAGCAGTGCCTAACCTTTCATTATCTATGACAACACATTAAGTGAGCAGCAGTACAAAGGATGCATGTGATTTCGAAATGCCACGGATGAGCCAACTGCAGTTGCCCGCGTATGTAGTATGGAGGCGTGACCAAAAAAAAAAGACTTATAGAAAGCATTTGTCCGCATCAAAAGATACTCTCCCCATCTTCTACAGGGCAAGTTTTCTTAAGACCAGTTTGTCCCCACTTGAAAGTGCCCCCAGCGACAGGAATTCATCTTGTCCAAGCCTAAGGCCGTGGCATGCAAGGCGTTGAATCACCGAGTACAGCAGTCGTGCGACATAAATATTATTTGATGACGGAGATGCTAGGGGCGCAGGTGCCAAGATAAACCTCTGGCAAAGATAACTGTGGTCATTCCTTCAGGCATAAGAAAGCGGGGTCGGTTCCAGCCCTAAAGGGGCTGCGTTTTAAGTTTGAGGCAAACTTCAAGCCTGCCCGTGTGACGTGTGCGCACTCGTGGGTGGTTTTAATTATGAGGAGAAATAGGGTTTGCGGCGTGGTTCCTTCCAGTCCATAGATAGAAATCATTCTCCGGCTCCCATGTCTTCCCGCTCTCCGGCTCGCAGCAGCCCCAAATCTCCCCTCGGTCCCTTCCCTCCCCCGCCCGGGGACGCTCCGACTCCTGCCTTCAGCCATTCATCAACCGGTTCACACCGGCGGCGGCCGCCGCGGGTGACGTGCGCGGTGGGCGGGCCTCCGCCCCCGCTCGCCGGCTCTGCGCGCAGGGTTCCGGGCGGCGATTGGTGGCCGGGGCTTCGCACGTCGCGCGGGCTATAAAGAGAAGGGCTTGTGACGCAAGGGCGCCGCGGCGCGCGTATTGGCTCCTTCGGCTGCGGGCCGGCTCGGCTACGCGCTCTCCTCCGAGCCGCTCACTGCATGGTAGAGACTGGTGCCCCCGCCGCCGCCTGCATCGCCGCCGCCGCCGCCCCGCGACGACCACCGCCGCCCCCTGCCCTGCAGCCGCCGCCACCGCCGCCGCCTGTGTCGCCGCCGCCTCGGGACCGGCTGTATGATTAGGCCACAATCTTCAATGAGTAAACATATTCCTGTGAGTAGCCGTCGCTCCGCCGCCTTTCGGGCTGGGAATCTGCGGCCGGCCCCCCCGTCCCCGCCGTCGCCTTTGTTCGGAGCTTCGCGTCCGCTTCCCGTTCCCCCAGGCTGCGGTTCCGGTGGGTCCCGGGTGGGATCGGGCGAGTCACGGCCCTGTGGCCGACTAGTGGCGGCCGGCTGCGGGGGGCAGGACGCCGGGGCCCGCGGGGCTGCAGGGTGGCAGTTGGCCCCCGGTGGCACCGGCTTCCATGTCCCTCCGGAGCCCGGAACGGCCAGGGCGGTGCGGTGCGGCCCGGCCTCTGCGGAGGGCGGTTTCGGGCGCCGCGGCGGGCCGGGCGGGGCGGCACAAAAGCCGCTTTGTGACCGCCGCCTCCGCCCTTGGCCCTCCGGTCCGGCGCGCCCCGTCCGGGCTCGGCGGGCTCCGCGGCGTCCCGGGGCCCCTTTGTTCGGCGGAAGGAGAGTGGCCGCTCTGGGAGCAGGAGACGTGGCCCGGGGTGGGGCGAGGGCTGCGCGTGTCACTGCGGAGCCGGATACGGGGAGGGCGCGGTGGCGGCGGGATTGCCACCAGATCCGGGCAGGCGTGGGATAGGCGGGGCGGCCCGGCGTGGCTGGTAACGGTCTCGGCCCGAAGCTCTCGGGGCTCGGGGGCCGGCGCGGGACAGCAGCTTGGTGCAGCCACCCCTGTGCTCCGTGGCCGGGACCAGAGCCTTAGACAAAATGGCCTCGGCGCCCGCGCCTCCAGTCAGGCGCGGCGCGAACCCGTGATTGCGGCGCGGAGAGGGGGCGCAGCGGGCGGGCGGGCCGGGGCGCGCGGCGCCGCGCACTCGGAGCGGCGGCCATCGGGGGCATTCCGCGAGCGGCTGCCCTGCCGGGGCCGGAGCCAGGTTCTGCTAGGTGAGGACGCCAGCTCCCTGCCCCGCCCCGCCCTCCCCCGGCAGTCAGTCTCCACCTGGTAATTCGAGCTGTTCCGGATTTAGCGCCCCACCTCAGGCTGTGGATGATGGGAACAAGTTGAGTCTTGTCCGCTCTCTGGGCGAGTCGTGGAGCAATGGCCCGGGTCAAGCGCCTTGGAAACTGCCGGGGCTACTGTTACACCGAAACGAAGGAGTTCCCTGCTGGGCACCCGCGTGCATTTTCCCTGCCAATTGTGTAAGGTCTTTGGATGGCGCCTTTTAATCGGGGACTGTTTCAGAACTGTTCCTGAAATCCGTGGTGTAATGTGTTGTTGCCTCCTTGGTTCGTGGCAACAGTAGCCAAACCAGAGCCAGAACTGTGAGGCTTATCTTATGTCCGTGGAACACTCCACCATTCCAAGAGCATTAAGTTGTTATTTACACCGTAGCTGGAACCGTTGACCTGCCTGAGGTCCAGATTTTGAGGCAGTGCTTCCTTTACTCTTCATATGAATTTTGTTTGGTGGCAGTTAATCAGTTGGAAACTAGAAAGAAAGGTAGATGATTCCCAGTAGTAAGCAGCATTTTACACATGCTTTATTAGATGCATTACCCTATGACCTGGGTAGATGCCGAACAAACTCACCAGGGAGTTATTTGAAATATCCATTATACAGATTGATTGGCTTGACTCAGCAGTCTGACAAACTTGAGATTCTGCACAGAAAGTGTTCTTTTCTCCTCTGCGCCATCATGCATGTGGTTATAATGTGGGAGGAAAAGTCCCTTGATATTTGTATCATGAATGGTTTCTCCTGTGGGGAGGATGTTGGGAATGGGGGAGTGTCTTGGCCAGAAGAGAAAGATGTCAGTGGTCATCACTACTTAACTAGAAGTGTCCCCCCAGCCACTGGGTGGCTCCACTCAGTTAAAAAAAAAAAAAGTTCAGGAAATGAATTCTTTCTGTATTGCATTCTCTGCTGGCTGATGAAAGTGATCATTTGAAGGGCTATAACCACACTCGGCTACAGCCAACAGGAATTTTAGCTATTAAATGTGGAAATAGTGGTGTGAAATACAGTAGTCTCATAAATCAGCTTTCAACTGAAAAAAAAGGTAGTGCCTAGAAATGAGAATACTGTGATAAGTCATTTGTAAAGCTTTTTAAATTCATTGAATGTCATCAGAAAAATGTTGGAATACACTCTTTGTTATATTTAAGGAGGTAGTATTTAGGATTTGAAGTGAAAGCATCATGAAATTTTTCCCAAATTACTGTAGTCTGTATTCACTGTAATAATCCTGTCTCTAATGGTGATTTAGACAATCATTTTTTAACCCAGCTAGCAAGTAGGTGAAGTAACCTATGAGGGCTCATTTTAGCAAACTTAAACTAATAAAAGTTATCTTCCTTATGGGACCTTTTAATAAATGATTCCTTTGCTAGTCCCTATGTTTTGCCAAAAAAATATACTGGGCTTTTAACTCAATGTTTTTTGTGACCTGATAAATAACCATATGAGTTATTCTTCAAAATTTAGCTAAGTTGTTCTAGAAACTGTAGTGTCAGACTCTATTAAAAGGTGTAAAATGAAAATGGGAGCAGATAGTTTGAATTTAATTTTAAGTTTTTCAAATGCTAAAGCATAGAAACTAATGGAACTTTTTGAATGTTACAAGATTTTATTTTGTTTGATAATTTACCCATGAGAATTCATATAAAGTGCTTGAGGCAGTGCCTGTCACTTAGTGTTCTTGTTAACCTGTTAATAATATTTTCCATTGTCCTCTCTTTCCTCCCAAATACACAAGAAGTACCTTATAAACTATTTGGAAGAAGAATAATTTTTAACATTAGTGCCTTAGTGTATGTATTTTGAAAATTTCCTGTGACTATTCATGTAATGTTTGATACTGGCATAAGATTGGTTTAGTTCTTAAAGAGGAACTTGGAGAAAATATAAATACATTTATATATATATATATTGGTGGCAGTAGTTACCTTGCTTTCAAAAGCTGTGAAAGGAGTCTGAGATAATTTACATCACCCACCACCTCCCCCTTGACATCCCTCTATCATCTTTTCTTCTGTGAGTAGATTTCAGTTTTAGATAAGTGAAGCTTTGATTTTAAAATATGAAAGAATATTATTAAAAATTAGAAATATTTGCTTTTTATAGTTATTTTAAATTTATAAATATATATTCTTATAATTTAATGAGTTGATTAATTTCAAGAGACTCACTTTCCTCATCTGTTAAATGGAAATGACAAATTAAGATTGTTAAGGATAAAATGAGATTGTATATATGGAAGCACTTTGAAAATCAGTCCTTTTTTTTTTTTTGACACAGAGTCTCACTTTGTTGCTCAGGCTAGAGTGAGTGCCGTGGCGTCAGCCTAGCTCACAGCAACCTCAAACTCCTGGGCTCAAGCAATCCTCCTGCCTCAGCCTCCCGAGTAGCTGGGACTACAGGCATGCGCCACCATGCCCAGCTCATTTTTTCTATATATATTAGTTGGCCAATTAATGTCTTTCTATTTATAGTAGAGAACGGGGTCTTGCTCTTGCTCAGGCTGGTTTCAAACTCCCGACCTTGAGCAATCCGCCCGCCTTGGCCTCCCAGAGTGCTAGGATTACAAGCAAGTGCCACCACACCCGGCAGGCCATCTCCAGTTTTAACTTCAGTGTATTTTCACATTTAAAAAGGAAGGTATGATAAAAAGTACAAAAGGAAAATGTTGATGGTAACTTCAGAATTTAGCTTTTAAAACCAAAACTTAGAGGGCAATCCTCAGAAATGATTACATAAAGAAGTATTGCTGGGCATGTTGGTGCACCCCTATAATCCTAACACCCTGGGAGGCCAAAGCAGGAGGATTGCTTGAGGTCAGGAATTCAAGACCAGCCTGAGCAAGAGTGGGACCCCCATCTCTAATGAAAATAGAAAAAATTAGCTGAGCATGGTGGCAAGCACCTGTAGTCCCAGCTACTTGGGAGGCTGAGGCAGAAGGATCGATTTAGCTTGGGAGTTGGAGGTTGCAGTGAACTGTGATGACTCTTCTGTACTCTAGCCTTGGCAAAGAGTGATATTCTATCACCAAAAAAAGGAGTATTATCTTTGTAAAAATGGCCATTATAGCCAATATATTCCTCTCCCATCAAACTGGCTTACTAAACAATATTAAGTATGAAAGCAACAATTGAAAAGGAACTTAGGTACTAATTATGCAAGGACTAATGACTTTGTATAGTATTCATGAATTTTGTGTTAATGCGTAAAATGTTTTGTTAGTTGGAAAAAACAGCTGGTACATACAATTCATAGCAATATAGAACAAACAACTATTAAAAGAGGAGTAATTAATAGAAAATACATGTATGTAGGAATTTCACCAAATGTAACAGTGGTTTTCTTTGAGGAATCTTTGTAAGAATAGATCAGTAATTTTCAGTTTAATCTAGTTGTGACTGCTTGTTTTATATTATTGATTTAATCTGTACTCAACCCTTGAATTTTGTGATGCAAGTAAAAGTTGAAAAAGTGCCTTGGGCTCTAATTTGAAAAAGTAGTTGGGCATTTAAATAGTGTAGAAGCATACCATGTTCCTTTTGGATTGGAAAATAACTTTTTTTCTCTCTCTCTCTTTTTCTTTTAAACAGCAGTTCTGTGGTGTTCTTGGTCACACATTTATGGAGTTTCTGAAGGGCAGTGGAGATTACTGCCAGGCACAGCACGACCTCTATGCAGACAAGTGAACTGTAGAAATTCATTACTACTCCACCAAGAAGCCCCCATAAGAGTGGTTAACCTGGACACAGAAGTGTTGAATTGAAATCCGCAGAGCATTTTTACAAGAGTTCTGACCTGGATGGGGTAAACCTCAGTGCACTTTTCTGTTGCCTCAGTATTACTGGATTGAAGAATTGCTGCTTCTTGTTAGGAGGTTCATTTCATTTACCATTACTTCCAACTTCATACTCAAAGCACTGAGAATTTCAAGTGGAGTATATTGAAGTAGACTTCAGTTTCTTTGCATCATTTCTGTATTCAATTTTTTAAATTCTTTCATAACCCTATTGAGTGTTTTTTAACTAAATTAACATGGCTCGAATGAACCGCCCAGCTCCTGTAGAAGTCACATACAAGAACATGAGATTTCTTATTACACACAATCCAACCAATGCGACCTTAAACAAATTTATAGAGGTAAGATTTGATAATTTTAAATATATTAAATGGATTGCAGTTAAATAATGGGGTTTATAGCTTATGAAATAAATACTGTTTTGGAAAATATGAGATGGTATGCCTGTAGTTCCAGTTCCCAGAAATAAAATACATGTCTTTTTTAGAAGTAATTTTTTTTATACATTTTGAGAAAGACATGTACTTGTTTGGCTTTGTGAGTTCATAGTTCTTCATGCATCTGAGTTTAAATCTATATGTGGACAGTGTAAGTGTAGCTTTCACTTAACCTATAAGAAATTTACAGGGGGAAGGCTGATGTTGATGGGTATTTCATATATATGCTTAGCCTAATGACTAATACCATAAAGTTAGTTTAAGCCTTGTACCTCATTTGATGCTTAGAATCAATTTTCAACTACTGATTGTATTTCTTTATGGTAGTGGCTGCATAGCCAGAACTCTCACTATTGACCTCACCTCTTTCTACTAGGAAGAAGAAATGTAATGAATGCTGAATATATCTGTACACATACACATTTTATTCATGAATATCTACAAGTGTTCAGAAACAGCAAATAGGTCTCTCAGATCATAGGGAAATATTTCAATAGTACTTTTGTTTTAGATTACCATGTAAACATTTTTTAAATGTCAGAAGAGTTAAAATTAATGCATTTTAAAGCCTATAGTTTTAAATTTGTGGGGGTTTTACTATATGTTTAGGATTTGAGTCTGAATATACTTTTAAGACTTTATACTATATACTTCAAATAAGTAAAAGTTTGAGGAGTTAGTGTAATTGTGTCAAACCAGATTACTTACTGGATTATAAATTATTCCTTTGGTTATATATCTTTGCCCTTATTGCTTTTACCCCTCTTAGTGTTTCATCCTCATCCTAGTCTATCCAGTGTTACCATGACTGTAAACAACTTCTGTATGTGAAGGGCCACAGAAAATATATATGTAGGGCCAGGCATGATGGCTTCATGCCTGTAATCCTAGCACTTGGGAAGGCTGAGGTAGAAGAATCATGTAAAGCCAGAAGTCTGAGACCAGACTGGGCAACATATCAAGATCTCATCTCTACAAAAAATAAAATTAGCCAGGTGTGGTGGCACATGCCTTTAGGCCCAGCTACTCAGGAGGTTGAGACAGGAAGATTGCTAGAGCCCAAGATTTTTAGATTACAGCAAGCTGTGATCACACTGCACTCTAGCCTAGCTGACAGAGTGAGACCTTGTCTCCAAAACCTAAGGAAATACATATGGTGTTTAATATTCCCTTTTCCTTTTCTAGTATTATTCTAGTATTCATTTAAAACAAGATTTGTTTCCATGTTTACACATACATAGGTTCTACCATTTTTTTTTCATGGTTTTCTGTTAACCACACCTGCAGATCAGATGTGATCGAAATAGCTAATATTGAGCAATAGTGATGTCGTTGTGAAGACTTAATTTTAAGTTTTTTAAATTTGTTTTATCTAGGAACTTAAGAAATATGGAGTTACCACAATAGTAAGAGTATGTGAAGCAACTTATGACACTACTCTTGTGGAGAAAGAAGGCATCCATGTTCTTGTAAGTATTTAACAGTTCCCTGTATGTTTATGATAATGTGCTACAAAAGTTTATTCAAATAAACCACAGACCCCCAACTTAGTTTTTTAAGTTAAGATAGTATACAGTATCTAATTTCCAAATAAAGTTGAAAGATAAGCAAAGGTTTAAAGTAAAGAAATATCTTTGTAAAGATTGAGCATTTAGTCACATTTCATGATAGTGGGGTCTCATAAGATTTGATTAAACATATTAAAATAAAAATGTATTTGAAAACTTTTAGATGTTAGGAATTTAGAATTCTTATAGTATTTATATTAAAGATCTATAATGTTTCATTCTTTTTGATTTAGGACTGGCCTTTTGATGATGGTGCACCACCGTCTAACCAGATTGTTGATGACTGGTTAAGTCTTGTAAAAATCAAGTTTCGTGAAGAACCTGGTTGTTGTATTGCTGTTCATTGTGTTGCAGGCCTTGGGAGGTAAGATAATTTTATTAATTTGGTTCTTCATAAAAATCTGGGTTGATCTGACACTTTATAAATTCTTCTAATTTTTAATGTAAAGTCAATATTAGGGGAATTACTTAAATAGGAAGTATGGTAGATAATACTTCTGGATTGGGGAATGTTTAGGATAATGAATTTATTAGAGTTTAGTTTTGAAAAAAATGATTTATCAAAATTCTTGCCTTAACCAGAGCTCCAGTGCTTGTTGCTCTCGCATTAATCGAAGGTGGAATGAAATATGAAGATGCAGTACAATTCATAAGACAGTAAGTAGTGGATTTCTTTTCATTTGCACTCTAATTTCCTCATTAAATATCAGTGATTTAAAGTATAGCCCATCTGACCATTATGATTATTTTTAAGATAGTGTTAAAATCAAGAAATACTTTTTTTTTTTTTGCATTTCATGCAGATGCTTCTATTACTAAGATTCAAATTCAACAATATCCTTTGAATTATTATTTTGCTTTAAATTCTTGATAGAATATGTTGCTTGTTGATTTGCATTTTTATTGAGGTATAAGTAAGATACAATAAAAATGCACAGGTCTTGAAGGGAGATCAGTTAATAACACCCAAATAAAACAGCTACCCCGTACAATGTATACGATATTTTGAGTGTTCCAGGACATACCTTTGTGGCTTTTGTAGTCATCATCTCTGCCACCAAAGGCAACCTCTTTCTGACTTTTATCACCATAAATTAGTTTTGTCTTTTCTTGAACTTTATATAAATAGATATGTGAATTGTGAGTTGTAACCACCACTCAAAAGAAGATTTAGAACATTTAACTTTTTACTGTTCTTTTTCCATTTGTACATGTATGCCTATCCATATTCCTTTCTGCATTATTAGGTCTTAGACTAATAATTAAAAGATTAAATTGCCGCAAGAGAGGTGATATTGTCTGTAACACACTAAACATTACTATAGAGGGATTTGATTTTAATTGCTTCTCTTTTTTTCTCCCTCCTAGAAAGCGGCGTGGAGCTTTTAACAGCAAGCAACTTTTGTATTTGGAGAAGTATCGTCCTAAGATGCGGCTGCGCTTCAAAGACTCCAATGGTCATAGAAACAACTGTTGCATTCAATAAAACTGGGGTGCCTGATGTTACTGCCTTGGAAGGAAAATTTGACACAGGACCTAATATGTCATATATATTAGCCAACATGTTGGCTTGGTGAATAAGTCTAATGAAGCTTCCATAAGAGTATTGTAAAGCGGTTTTACCAGGCCACAAGTTTAACAGAATTGCAACTTATGTGTCTGGGTTACGGTTAGCCTTTTTGGACACTTAGCAAAAGATTCTTGCTGTTCAGCATTTAAAATGTGCTTATCATTTGTACCAATTGACCTTTCCTGAAATCATGCGGTATTGAGTTATGTCTTGTTTAATCTATTCCATGCCAGAATCTTTATCAAATATATAGAAATTTAGAAAGATTAGGTGCAAAATACCCAGCACAATACTTGTATATTTTTAGTATCATACAGAACTAAAATCCCAGGAACTATGAACACTCTAGACCTTATATGGTTTATCCATTTCAGACATTGAAAGTAGGGCCTACATGGTTATTTGCTGCTCCACTTTGTTTACATCTCCCACATTTATACCAGTATACATCAGGTTTGCTTAACCATTGATTTTTTTTATTATTATTATTTTTACCAAGTCTTACAGTGATTATTAATGTCTTTCTGTAAATCTATTTTGTGCTGTTATGAAAAACCTCCATTTTAAAAATCACATTGTACAGAAGCACATGTCTTTAATGTCTTCAGACGAAAACGCCTTACAGTTAATTTAATGTTTGCACTCTGAGGTGCAACTTAACAGGGAGGGCCTGAAAAAAGAATGGGAGGAGCTATTAAATATTTTTAGCAAAATGTTGCCTTTGTCTTGTGCAGAACATGTAGAAAATGCTCTTTAATTTAGTAAATATTTTTTAAAAGGTAGAGATGCTTTGTTAATTGTAGCTAAAAACAATTCTTAATCATAAATTTCTGAAATTCTTGTAATTTTTTTCCATACTTATCAGAAGTTGTTTATCAACTTATTTTTGTTTGAAGTGTGATTTTTTTTTTTCTCTGTTCCCAACCTCTCTTGCAAAAAAAAAGGTTTCTGCTAATGAATTGAGCAGACATCTAATTATTTTATATGCTTTTGAGCTATGTACTTAATATTTGGATACTTGATATTTGTTTTATTATGTAATTGATAAAATGGTGATGTGTATTAATGTTAGTCAACCATATATTTATACTGTCTGGAATGTGTGTTATAGTTCTGTGGGAGAAATAATTTGTCAGTGTTCACCAGCTTGTAAAAACTTAGTGCGAGAGCTTAAACATCTAAATAAATAATGAAATGCATTTATCATCATTGAGATTGTTTTGCTTAAAGTTAACTTATTTGTAGCAAACAAAATGAATTGCACTTCACTTAATGCCATTTCATATATAGTGTGGCCTTCATCTTTTTACAAATTAAGTCAGCATTTGAGTAAGCCATAGACAATTCATTAGGGTCATGAGAACTATTTAATGCTAAAAGTGCTCTCCATTATATAACTTCCCTTTTGTTAAAGGTGTAGGTATTTTGAACCAATTTGTTGTATACTGAGGAGAAACAGTATACAGTAGAGGAAGGCCTTGAATTTTTTTTAAGCTCAATTCTAGTTTCTTTTTTCTTTTTAGAGACAAGATCTTGCTCTTTTACCGAGGCTGGAGTGCACTGGTGTGATCATAGTTCACTGGTCTCCAACTCCTGGTCAAGTGATCTTTCTCCTTCAGCCTCCTGGATAGCAGAACTACAGCTGCAAGCCACCATGCCTGGCTTCTAGTTATTAATGGTTTTGTGCTTATTTTGAAAATTGTATTTGAACATTACTTTGGCACATGAAGACTTAATAAATGTTAAATTTGTTCAAGTAGTCTGAAATACTAACTTTGCATTCCACATGTTATTCTAAAAGGGACAAATACCCTTGTCTAATTTTTTTCATAGTTACAAATGTAAAACAATTAAAATGTGAGTAAAAAGTGATACTCCATTTGGCGTTTAAAAGAACTTGCCTCCATCTCTCAGCGCTAATTTAGCACTTAATATATTCCATTCTTGAAATTTAGCTGGGACAAAAAGGACAGACCTCGGGAGGCCCCTAGTTCTTTAAATTTCAGATTATTTTTAATTGGGCTTAGTTATTTAACTGGAGCTGTTTTTGTTTTTTAAATAGCGCCTACTTAACAAGATAATTTTGTGTTACTGATTACTAAATAATAAATTTCCATCAGCCCATAAAACAATTTACTTTTATTGAGAGAGAGATGCCATCATGGATTAACGAAAAGTATCTTTTTCAGTTCGAAAAGTTAAATTACTTGCAATGTTGATTGTATATATGGTGCTAAAATCAATACTTTATAAACCTTAACCTGTACAGTATACAACATGATGAATTGCCTTTCATCCCAAATATTTTGTATCTTGTAAATATACCTTATCAAGGAATGCCTGTATACATCCTAAAAGATTCTTTATATCAAAAGATAATTTAAGAATATTTAGTTGAGGTCTTGACTGCCAGAAGTTATCAGGTGGTATTCTAAATTTGGTACCCGTGGGTTTGCATACCCTCAATGGGATGATGTAAATAGTGACTAGTTGCCTAGGCTTGTCTATAGGAATCATAATGTTGCTGACGTTAAGTAATGCGATTACTGAATCATAACAAAATGCAATCTTTTAGCTGAAGGAAAACCCTAGAAATAGGTGCCATTGGTCATTTCACAGTGCATTGCAGCCTTCATTTATCGTTTTTTGCTTAGGGCGGTGCTCTTCTATTCCCACACCTTAACACAGCTCCATACCCAGAAGCAGCCAGTTCAGGCTTGTGATCAAAACTGGTCATATCCCCCTTCTAGAACACTTCAAAAGGATACTGTCGTTCTCCAACTTGGCTGCAGAATCTCAGTCTCTGGGATCTATTTTTTGAATGTCCTTGTATCCATCTAACAAATATCCACTATTTGCTAGGCATTTAAGAGTATGGTGGAGAATATAAAAATGTCACTAGATTTTGGTCACCAATGAGTACCCTACCCCTTGCCATAACTAAGAGAATGGTTTTATGCTTTCTATTGGAGTTTCAGGAAATGCAATTTGATGAGACTACTTCAAAGGGAAATAGAATTGTAAGTGACAATGATTTTTTTCTTTTACATGTAAATTATGAAATTCTTTTAGAGTAAGTTTTTAAAAACATGAAATAAGTGTCTGCTGTACATGTTTATACTCTACATTTTTGATTCCTTGAATTAGTATGTTTGTGTGTGTGTGCATATATATGTCTTCTTACACCTGAATTGAAAAATTAAAGACTGGTTTAAAAGTGTCTGACATTTAATGTTTCTCCATTACATTTAGGGTAACCAACCTAAGCAGAATCTTGGAAGGAAAGTAACATAAATTTATATTTGCCTTCAATGAATTAAACCAATTATATTCATTAAAGTATGAGTGGAAAGATTGACAGTAATTTAATATGTATTGCCAGACTAACCAGTTGATTAATACAGCTATTATGATGACTACCATTTATTAATGATTTTAGTGTCAGGTAATTTTAAGAATTTGATTCCCTTCCAGTAATCCTGTATTAGTTGTCCCAATTTTATTCATAATATATTTGAGCCTACAGTTAAATGACTACCTGATAAATCATAGAACTCAGGGATTCAAACCTGTGTTTGACCCTTCCACTATACCACACTTCTGAATATATATGTCTATTTTTTATGTAACCAATTAAAGTTTATGAGTTCTTGAACTCTTTCCTATTGACATATTCTCATATTCCTTAAAGATAAATTGTTCTTCATAAAAACTGTATAAACCCTTAATTATAATTTTCTTCATTTAAATTGAACCCTTTTCTAATTTTGCAGAAAAATCTTTTGAAGTAAAAAAAAAGAATAAGCTAATTTATGCTGCAAGAACAATAAGCCCTGAAATCTCAGAAACTGTTTTAAGACTTAAGTTTAAGGTTTTTAAGACTTACTTCTCACTTAAACTTTATATCCATCATAGGGACCCAGGCTGATGGAGCAACTACCCTCTGGAACAGTACTAGTTGTGACAGAAGGCAAAAAGGAATTTGGATTTTCTCACATGATGATTAAATGCTTGACTAAGAAATCATATGTGTCACTTGTACTCATGGGACAGACTGGTTACATAGCCATCCAATAAAGGAAATGCAATTCTGTTATATCATGTGCTAAAAAGCCAGAAGTGCACAGCATTAATCACTACTACATCAGTATTTAAACAAGTACCTCCAGAGCAACACTCCAAATAACTGAAATATCAAATATAAGGGGACAAAGTTGCCAAGCAGCCAAAATAGATGGCACGAAGTTCAGGCACTAAAGTTTGTGCTTATTAGTGACTCATAAGCACTTAAACCTATTTAATCTTTTTGGGGGGGTATATTTTTAGCTAGCTTTGGTCATTTGGTTTCCTGCCAGACTATAGGTGGTAACTAAGATGATGAACACAGGGAAAAGCACGTGGGTAGCAGCAAGATATCAGCTGGATATTGAGATAAATTATAAAAACTAAACAATACAAAAAGTACAGTCATTTGGAACAAGTCAATGCTATGACCAACAGCCTTAGGTTCATATACCTTAATAGACCTTAAGGACATCAGTGTTTCCACACAGCACAGAACAATTAAATACTTTTAATGATGGCCCATCAAGAATATAAACCATTAAGTTTGGTTTTGTGTCTTTTAAGGCAAGGAATTTTATAATCCAATGTATTCAAAAGATGTTCTTAGGTATAATTGTTTGGCAAATACTGGGCTAAACTTAGACATTATTGCAATATTTCTTAGAGCCTTTAATGTGCTGGTATGAATTTTGACTCTTCCAAGAGTACAGTATAGTATTCAATCATTGTATTAAGTCAGCATCCCAGAAGAAAACAGTACCCTCAGTGGATAATGGAGAAGCACTGAATAAAGAGAAACTAACATGGTTGTGGTACTGTTACCACCTCCCAGCCTAAAAGGGCAAGATGGGAAGCAGTTACCAGAACTGCAGAGGAAAACTAAATGGAGAGGACTTCTTTGTCACAACCTTAGTTCTAGGATACAGCCAACTACTGGCAATCCAGCAGGAAGGAGATAAGGGACCAAGAAGTAAATAGCGTCATTTCTCCATCCCCTTTGATGTCCGGCTGGCTGGTCTGCTCTGCCCTCCACTCCTTTAGCCAAACCCAAGAGGAAGATAGAGGGCAAAGGAACCTACAGTTTATAAAGATCAGCCATTCTGTCAGAGAGCAGAATGGAGCACAGTATAGTGTGGAAAACAGAAAATGTCCCGTACCTCTGTGGGTCCCTCTTTTTCATAAATGACGTTTGGGACTAGTGTTCTGCAGAACAGACTTTTGGAACAGTTGACATCATTAAGATATCCAAACTGATAAACACATATATGCACACATTTTTTGGAAGTCACAGTATAATAGAAGCATTTACACTAATGTGAAACAATTTCAATTTAATGAATCAAGTACTGATTTTGAGAGGAGTGACAACTTCACTTTGACTTGTGCACTATGATCACAGAATTGGTCGTGTCTGCAAAAATATTCCAGGGGTTTAATTTTTCCAAAGGCTTTTCTCAACCATTAATACTATTCAGATAATTTTGTCTTGAAGTATCCATTATGGCATCCATATAAATTTCCTTTTTCCAATTTGTAATTGACTTAATTTGCCAGATCCTCATCTGACAATAACTTGTGATTTGAGCAGTTCTCAATTATTTTCACTGATTTTATCAAACTAAATAACAGAGAGGCTCCATAAAAGATATTTATTTGAGAATAGAGAATTGCAATGGGAATACACATGCTATAGTAAGCTATGTGTGTATTCCGGAAGTTAGTAAAGGAAGACAAAATTTTCTAAAGGAAAAAAATGAGGATTACATAATTGTTTTGAGATAATTATCCTTGGCTACAAAGGTCAATAACAAGGGTGATGCCAGTACAGGCAGTTGCCGGGCAGACGTCCTTGCAAAAGTATTTTTTGTGAAAGATTGCGATGGCCTTTATGCAAGGTTGTGGTTTTTATACAGTCTTTTGTGATAGTCTTTGTTATCAGGCATACAAGAATGAGGACACTCTCTTCACGGCCTTTCCTGGTTTTGTTTGCCAAGGGTTTTTTTGTTTGTTTTATTTTTGTTTTTTGTCTTTTTTAGCAAGGGTGACTCCATTTTGATTGTGACAATTTTCACAGCTTCATAAAATCCTGCAACTTAAATTTCAGTTTCATATGTTTGCATTGTGCCATTGGCTACATTGGCAAG